ATATGCTGGAACAGTTTACCAAGTATATTTGTTTTACTGTCTAAAGTCATGCTCAAGCAAACGGTTGAATTCTCCTTTTATGATTTTAAAGAAATTAAACCTTACACTTGGTTATGGTTAGGAAACGGTCATGTTTTGGCTTTAAATAAACACATTTGGTGCCACAAACACCTCTGTGAAATGCTTTCATGTGTCGGTTAAAAACACCCAGGTTTGGTGCCACAAACACCGTTGGAAACAACCAGGTCTCACTGCAAAGCTGTCGTAATCCTTGATCAACGACTTCCAGCGTCAGACACCAACAAAAAAAGCCTTCCTTTCACGTTAGCATGAGACGCGGCCAGTCATCATCATTGTTTCACAGCGCCCTGTGTTGTCAGGTGGAAATGCGACAGGACAACAACAAAAGTTAAGGCAGTGGGAGGGGTGATGGATGGATCCAACAACCACCTACTTTTGGTGGTTGCTTGCCGTAAGATTGTAACGCCAAACCCTGTTTATCTTCCCAAAACTCAACAACGTGCTTGTGTTTGTCATTGAAGGGGAAAAAAACGTAATTTATGGTGTTGTACTGATGTACTGTATTTATTTTGAAACTGAGACTGTATGCAAACTGTACATTTCCTGTGAAAACAGAAGTGTATTTGAAAACACACAATGTATGTAACAGGCTGAGCTTTACACGATGTCCCAAAGCATGCAATGCACCAACGCACTCAGGGTACCTCACACATCGTATGTTGACATGACCATGACCAGATGTCAATATGTGACAAGGTCGGAGTGAGAATGTGTCAATGGAAACATCACCAAGGGTTGCCAAACAACAAACAGTTTTGTTGTTTATGTCCTTGGTTTGCAGAAATGTACGATGTGAGCATTTTCTCCTGGCAACTGGGTTGGAAACTTGTTGGATTTGCTTCACCACTTAAATCATTTATCAAGGAAAAATCTGTTTCCAGCTTCCCAACCAGAAAGATTTATGCTTTTCCTTTGGACTGAACAAAACTAGCAATTTGAGGAAACCATCTCGGGCTGTGGGACATCGTGATCAGAATCTTTTTTAAATGAAAATAATGATAATTTGCAGCCTGTACAAGTCAGGGCAAGAATCACTATTCAACAAAAATACGTATTCAACAAATTCAACATCTTTACCAAAATCACTGCATTTAAGAAAATAAATATTAATGTGTGCAGGGTTTTATTGTCGTGCAGAGCGTGCACCGTAGAAAAGGACGGAAGTAAAAAAAGAGTAGTTGAAAATCAAGTGGTTGAGGTTAAGGTCTGAAGTAAATGTAACTACAGTCAGAGACACCCAGACAGAAACATTCTCAGACCTATAGTGCGTGCACTATGAGATCCTTTCAGTGTAAATGCACTGAAGGCTGTAACAAAGCAATTTATAGGTAGATTAAGTTTCAGCCATAAAAATGATTATTCAGCCTCAGCGGTAGCTA